ATGGAAAGGTGCTTTTTATTTCACATCTTTTGGACAGAAGCAATGCAACACCTGCTGAGTGCAACGATAGAGCTTGAAAGATCAAAGACAATTTTTAATATAACTCCAACTGGATTCGTCTGAAAGAAGAAAGGATGCTAGGATGCATCGGGGTAAAACACAGCCTAATTTTCATTTTGGGGTGAACTAACCCTTTAAGAGCCTAAAAAAAAAACCTGAGAAAATATCTGCTATTGTGTAATAATATTAGTAATGTATATATTTACAGCTTTACTTCAACCATATCTTAGTCTCTTGTCACAATAGCATATTTAAAGTTTATATTTAACCTTTTGTTATTTTATAGACACCCATGAAATGACAAAAACAGAACCAAGCTGGAATAAAGATGATCCTATTATTTATAGGATATTTTTCATATTTAATGTTTATTTGACAGAGACTGTCATCACCTGGGCATCCGAAACAGTTTTGACCATCAGCGTCTGCTGAAGTTTGCTCGAGTCTGTGAAGTGAGCGGGAGAAAACACATCTGCTTCAGAGACAAGGTGCCTCATACAGTGATCACACATTATCATTACAAACCAAACACACACACTGTATGTATGGCATATAGCAGAAGCTCAATTAATATATTCAGAATTTGTCTACTCTGTTTTATAGTTTGAACTCAGATATCATGTCAGACATATTACACTAGTTAATGACTTTCAAAGGCAGACTTTAAATTAAAGTGTTTAAATTATTTACATATTCTCATGCTGTTCTAAACCTGTGATACGTTATTTTAAAGGATGTTTCTATTGTTTCTTTCCATGCAATGAGTCAGTGGGCTCCAGAATAACCCTTGACCCCACTGACTTTCGTTGTACAAAGACAAAAACACTGAGACATTTCTCAAAATACATTATTTTGTGTTCAACTTTAGTGTTTTGTTTCTTGGGAAATATCTAAAAGTGGCATTGCTTTACGTGATCTGGATCTCTGACACACTGATGTTTATCTAACAGGAGGCTGATAATGTTTATGACATGTTTCGCACTCGATACACTCTCCATCGCCAGGCCTATCAGCACAAGATCTGCAACATCATCGAAGACATGTGAGTTTCTCTGTTTAGATTAGTGGTGATACCTGTGCTGCTGATCGTACAGTATTTAAAATCTTGCATCACTAATTCTTCCTTTCCAGGATATTACATAAATTAGGTCACTGACTGCACTCCTTATACATGTTTGAAACACTAACTCACATGTTTTTCTCTGTGTTAGGCTTGCAGAAGCGCTCGTACGAGCTGATCGTGATCTTCATGAAGGAAAACCTGAAGATATGCTGAAGATTTCTGAAGCCATAAAAACAGCAGAGGACTACAGCGAACTCACAGGTTAGCAAAAACACAAAACACAAAACACACAAATATATAAATAAAAGAAGTAAATATGTGCCATATTATTCCAAGATAAACACATTCACTCTATTAAGACTTGTGGTAATGTGTCTCAGGACATATGAAATAACATGTTTTATTGATGCTAATAATGACACTTCTGTTCTTCTGTCAGATGAGATCTTTGAGCAGATCTTGTCCTCCACTGCTGACAATTTGAAGAAATCCAGAGACATCTTGAACAAGATCGTCAGAAGAAAGCTGCCAAAGTTTGTTGGAGAAGCTCGACTGACTGAGAACAGCATGTCAAAGGTTGGATAGAAGTGAAAAACACACTGGTTTACAGTTTAATTTACCCTCCAAAACTGACAAGCCCTCTCAAATCTGAAATTTCAGGAAGAGCTGACAGAAACATGGAAGGCAGCATTAGAGAAGTACAAACCTACAGACCCGACTGTTTCTCTGAATGCTGAAGGTTTACCAGTTTATGTAAGTTATATTCCAAACACTTCACATCTGCTTTCATATCTTCACAAACTAGCTATTTCATCTCTTCTTATTCAGGTGGTTGATCTGGATCACGGCATGAAGGACAAAAACCCAATTGAAAAGGTATTTTTCTACAGCAAGAGGAAACCCAACGAAGCCTCTCCCATTAAAGATTATCAGGTACTCGTGACACTTTAACTGTTTTATTTCAGATTGTTTAAAGGTGCAGTAGGAGATCTTGGAAAATGCTAAATTTAGCCTGATAGCACTAAAAGCAAACGTCGCACCCTTCCTGCAATCACCGTCCAAAGCCACGCCCCCTGAACGCATGAACGCACACACAGACCCGATGACCAGAGACAACATTACTACAATACATCACAGTGTTTCCCACAGACTTACACTCTATGTGTGGCGGCACTTTCCCTGGGGGAAATATATATGTATATAATGTAAATATAAAACAGCAGGCTTATTGAAAATGCTAATTCATTCTCTGCCAGCAGGAGGCGCTTTAGGAGAGGCATGAATAGCGGTTTCCCCGATAATGGCTGTAAACAAAGCAGCGCTGCGCTCATGAATGCTACAGGCATTTTAGGAAAGATGAAATTAAAATGACATCGAAACTTTTCTGAAGATAACCGGTTCCTTTCAAAAATGATACATTCATATAAAAACACCCATGCCGTGTTTTGATTTTGAAACATGCAGAGCTCATGTTTATCCAACGAAGTCAAAGCATTTTGGAAAATCTATTTGTGGCGGTTAGTGTTGATATTGTGGCGGGCCGCCACAAATAAATCAATGTATGGGAAGCCCTGCATCATGTGTTATTCACCGGTGAGAAAACTTTATATTATAGTTAGTAAAAGTAGATCAGGTTGTTGATGTTTGACTGCCATTCTCGTTCTCTCTGCACAGCGTGCGTGAACGCACCGATGACGTATACTGTATACTGAGGTATGCAAATACATATGTTGACAGGCAGGTAGGAAAGCATATTAAAACTCTTGGACTGAGCGTTTTGATTGGACAAACATTTCTTGGTCCTACACCTTCCACAGAATATATAAATACAGATAAATACATTTAGACCACTTAACTTAATGATTGCTATCGGGATGTGAAGAGACTTTCAACCAGCATAACAAAAATAGTTTCTGAAGACAATCACCTATTGCACCTTTATGTATTTTTCCAATTGAGTGTGATCAGCTATGTTTCCATCCACTTGTTTTTATCTGCATTTTGGAATATCACATAAAAAACGCTGGATGGAAACAGCAAGACAAATTCTAAAAATATGCATACAAAACACACATATAAAAAATTTACATAAAAATAAGAACACATACATAAACTATAATGGAAACACATTTACAGAATAAATTCCCTGATTCCCCGTCTGAAATGTTGTTTTGGTTATTCTGAAATGCCTGAGCCAAAGTCTTCGTCAAAGTGATTCAGTATAATGACCTCCTAGAACTGTTTTAATGACCACGTTCCCAAACAGCAGGCGTCCGCCTCCAAAAGCAAGATAACATGACCGCATTTATTGCATTTTGACTTTGTGCTCTGGGGAGCAAGTAATTTATTAAATACAAAAAAAAACAGTGGCTTCTACTACTGCAGCGAATTAGCCTTTTCTTTGTGATGTTAGGCACCAGTCTATAAGGAAGTGACGATGTTGTTCTTTAGGCTACATCTCGCTGGACACAGTACTATATTTGCAAACTGTTTTATGTGATATTACAATTTTGCGATATTCACAACTTTGGATGGAAACATCAGTCCTTACAAACAAACAAACAAACAAACAAACAAATAAATAAATAATTGGACAGAGGCTTGAACATTGTCTTCTCAGTGTTGGCTCAGTGAAACTTATTTTGTTGAAGTATTGTTAGAAAACTGATTTTGTGTCACTTGTCTTATTGTCAGCTGTCCAGTTTCCTGCCAAACAGGTTTAATGAAGAGCTGGTCAGAGTTTACTACAAACAAACTGATGATCAGGCAGCTGAAGATAAGGAGGAGGAGAAGAAGAAGGTGGAAGAGGCTGAGAAGTGCTTTCAGATCTGGTGTGCAGACAATTTTGGACTCAAATAGACAGCTGAATACTTGACATATAATTATTCTCTGTGACTGTAACACAAAATCAATTTACTCAAAGAAAACATCTGTACGTTCAGTTAAAATCAGTTTTCAGTTAATGGTATATAGTTATGAAATAATGGAATAATTTAATCTGAATTAAAAACAAGTTTTGCAAACTCTGGTTGCCAGACACTTTCATGTTTTCTTGTGTTGAGTTATGAGTTTTAAGAATATGAAGGACTGATAAATGTGGAAGTAATAAAAAGGTTTAATTAATTTGTGTTGCATATTTATTTGCAAAATGGAGCAGCAAGAAGTTTAGTTACAGAAAGTAAAGCTTGGGTTTACATATTTTAGGAATGTAAATGTATATTAATATATATATATATATATATATATATATATATAATTATATTATTAGACAGAAATAAAGTAAATCTGGTTAGTAATAATTGAAGCTGGTAGTGCTGTTTGTGGAATTGTTTAATCAGATCTTGAGAGATTTAATGTCTTTTATCTTCAGTTCATCTAAGGCTGTGGCTGAAGAAAGTTGTAGTTTGTGTTCTTATTTCTCTTTCTTTCAGTGCTTGTTCACAGCAGGTGTTTGAATGATTGAAAGAATGTTTCAGGAACATCATACTAACCTTTAAATAACATTCTACTAACATTAAGGAAACTGAATATTTTTATGTTTTTGGAATGATACAAATCAACGTTCCTAAAATGTTGAATTTTAAATAAAAATTAAGTTGAAAGAACGTTTGAGGAACATCATACCTTTTAAAAACGTTCCTCTAATGTCAAGAAAACGAAATATGTTTTATGTTCCCAGAACCAACACTGAATATTTAGCTGTGAAATGTTGAAGTGTGTATGAATAACATAGATTATCTGATCTCATCTCTTCCTCCATTAAACAGAAGAACTGGATCCACTGGATTAACTTGCTTTAAAACACTGAATGTTTTTCATTTTTCTTATGAACTCTTGCAGAAAAGACACCAAAATGAAACTGTCACAACGAAAGCACAATGTTATCAAATCTAAATGCAGTCTAATGAAATATTAACAAGAGCTTTAGTTGTAGATCCAGTACAAAGGCGAACCTGTGAAAAGAAAAAGACAAAATCTGAATTCACCACCAACAGTTCAGCTGTATGAACCCGAGATCAAGATCAAGATAAAAACCCTGCATCATTCAGCTTCTTCAAAGACTCTCAGTCATTACATCTGCCTTAATGTACCTCAACAGACAAAAACAGCAAATAAATTATTCACAAGTGCTCCTCTGAATCACAGGCCGACACATATAAAGAAGTGTCGTTTGGCTCCAGATGACAGGAAACCCATTTAAAATGTATTTGTTACTATCAACTAACTAGAACATGTTTGATTCGCTCAAACACATTTTCAGTCACTAATACATGCATATTACAATGCATATTGTATAACAAATTGAGCTAATGCACAACTAATAATCATAATAATACATTTAATAAAAATAGAAAACAACATTTCATCTTAAGACATGTTTCTGGGGCCATCAATGAAGAGAGACTCGAGCGTGAGAGGAATGTATAGAGGTTAAAGCTGTTATATAAATATAAACACAGATTATCTGCTCATCTCTTCCTCCATTAAACAGAAGAACTGGATCCACTGGATTCACTTGCTTTAAAACAATGAATATCTTTCATGTTTCTTATGAACTCTTGCAGAAAAGACACCAAACTGAAACTATGTCACAACACATTTTCAATCACTAATACATGCATATTACAATGCATATTGTATAACAAATTGAGCTAATGTGCAACTAATAATCATAATAAAACATTTAATAAAAATAGAAAACAACATTTCATCTTAAGACATGTTTCTGGGGCCATCATTGAAGAGAGACTCGAGCGTGAGAGAAATGTATGGAGGTTAAAGCTGTTATATACATATAAAAACAGATTATCTGCTCATCTCTTCCTCCATTAAACAGAAGAACTGGATCCACTGGATTCACTTGCTTTAAAACAATGAATATTTTTCATTTTTCGTATGAACTCTTGCAGAAAGACACCAAACTGAAACTATGTCACAACACATTTTCAATCACTAATACATGCATATTACAATGCATATTGTATAACAAATTGAGCTAATATGCAACTAATAATCATAATAAAACATTTAATAAAAATAGAAAACAACATTTCATCTTAAGACATGTTTCTGGGGCCTTCATTGAAGAGAGACTCGAGCGTGAGATAAATTCATGGAGGTTAATGCTGTCAAAAAACATGTTCGTTTTAAATGTATACCCAGTCAAAAATTTAAGATCTCACCATGAGCTCCCAGGATACTCGTGATGAGGTCACAATGTAAGGTCACAGTGAGCTAAAAGGGTAACCTTTTACATTAACATCGAATGACACCAGTGCGAGAAGCCGCCATTTTCTCAGCGTATTCAGGTGGAAGCGAGTGTGAGTGAAAGACGGTTTATGTAAGTAAAGATTAAAAATGTAAAGTCATCATTCATTGTTTAAGTCCGGTATAGTATTTTGAGATTTCATGGAAGGCGGAAACAGTCCGAAAAGAGTTTATATTGAAAAATACGCTGACGCGGATTTAGCCTCAGAAATAAGCACAATGAGTTAGTCTTAACATCAGGCTCTTTTACTGAACGGAAGAGGTGCTTTTAATATAATGTCAGTGAGTGTCTTCTGTCATATTTACATACAATTTTACAATATTTAAATTTTTTTTAGTTGTTAATAGAGGGTTATTAACATATTTACATGTTACTTCGTAATCTTTTTTTTCACGGTTAAACTGAATGCAACGTTGGTTTCCTAAAGGAAACGGCGTTATGCAATAAAGTCTAGCCTAATTATTTTGAGGCCGATGAAGTGATAATTGTTAAAGTAATGTTTTGCATGTAATATATCAGACTTGTTGAGCATTGTGTCTTCATTGTGCCCGTGCCGGGAGTTAACGACACAGAGGTCTGCTTGTGTGAGGAGGAGACGATTTTCTCAGCTTCTTCAGAAGAGAGGGAAAGACTGTTAAAGCAAGTAAAGTTCATAATACCATCATGTTATCTTTTTTTTTTTTACTAAGAGTAAAATAATGTTTGTTTTTGTAGATGTTGAAAGCCAAAGGCATAGGATAGCATCATTCTTTTGAGATTGATGTGAGTAATTTTTAGAAAATAAATGTTTCTGTTGTCTCCTGCCTGTTTACTTCACATTTTGATGAAATAACAGTATTTATTTTAGTATTTTAACAGTTTTCAACAGTATTTATTTCTAACTTTGGAGTTGTCTGATTTGGAGAGTCATCATTCTTGGTCTTCCTTTCTTAAAGGAATAGCTCACACAAAAAAAATATTTTACTTGCCCTCATGTCATTCCAAACTTATAAGACTTTTGTCTATCTTTAGAACACAAATGAATATATATATTTAATTTTCTCTCATCGTTTTTTGTTAATCCATTGAGAGTCTAGATAATCAGTATTTTCAAGTTCATTCAGTTATTGTAGAAGTATCCATGACAATATTTATATATGTGTAATGAATCAGCTCATGAGGAAATATGAATAATTAATCATAACTAGTTATAATTAATTATGAATATTTTAGATCCGCTGTAGATATTTAGCTGACCTCTCAGGGTCAACTGTCTGTCAATTCTAATAACGTTAATTTCCTGGTTAAGGGAAATAACTTCCTTACTGTACAATTCTACAAAAGCTTGTAGCATAAATCTGCATGATTAAGTGACTCCAGTGAATTAATTAGTAGAAAAGTCAATTTCTACTCTGCATTTGCCTCTTGCTTATGGGACATTTTACCTGGTCACAATCCATGAGGTCGTAAACGTATCTGGTGTCAGTGTTGCTATTGAACCAGGGGCCTGTTCGGCTTCCTGGGGTGTTACAGAGTATTTGTTAAATCTAGCTAACAAAATATATATTGTGTGTTTGAATGGTCCAGACGCTACATATGAATAAGTCTTTAATTATATCATATCGAACATGTCTGTTCAGAAGAAAATATTGGTCTCCTAGACTTGCAATGGAGAAAAAAATTAAGAGAATATTAAATATATTTATTTGTGTTCCAAACATTTGAGTTTGTATGGGGTTGGAATAACATGGGGAGAATAAATTATGACCATTTTAATTTTTTGGTGAACTAATAATAATAATAATAATAATAATAATAATACTAATAATAATAAAAATAATAATACTAATAATAAGATTTTTTATTTATATAGCGCCTTTCCAAAACCCAAGGTCACTTTACAAGTCAGGTTTAAGGAACAGAAACAGATAAACATCAAAAGGGGATCTTATCCGCGTCCTTAATCTCTGTCAGCGCCAGCCACAAATGGCGCTCGAGCACCACAAGGTTGGCCATCGATCTCCTGATCACCTGGGCGGTGGTCTTGGTGGCACGCAGAGCCAGGTTGGTTGCGCTCCTCAGATCCCTGAGGGTCGTGGGGTCCATGCCAGACTCATCGGTGGATGCGAGGATTTTGGCTTGGAAGACCTGGAGGACTGCCATTGAATGAAGCGCCGAAGCCGCCTGTCCAGCTGAAGTGTAGGCGCGTTCAGCGAGAGCGGAAGTGGTCCTACACAGCATGGATGGGTGAGTGGCCTTCGCTCTCCAGCCGATGGCCGTGGGCGGGCAGAGATGCGTGGCCACTGACTCATCTAGGGGAGGTGGCTTATCGTACCCTTTTTCTTCAGCGCCGTCGATGGAAGTGAGAGCGGATGAAGAAGCAGTATGGAGGCGAGCGGAGTAGGGAGCGCGCCACGATCTGGTGAGCTCGTCGTGGACCTCCAGAGAAGAATGCTGACGAGGGGCCTGGCGGCGCCCCGGCAGGGACCACTCATCCAGATGGCTGCAAGAGGGCTCCTCTGGCAGAGACCACTCTAAACCCAGCACTTCAACCGCTTTGGAGAGAATACGGAGGAGCTCGGCATCCATTCCGTTTTTGGTAGCGAGGGGC